GTCACCCCCTCCCTCACTCTGTCACTAGTCACCACCTCCCTCACTCTGTCACCAGTCATCCCCTCACTCTGTCACTAGTCACGCCTTCCTTCCCTCACTCTGCCACTAGTCACCCCATCACTCTAGTGACAGAGTGAGGGAGGGTGTGACTAGTGACAGTTAGGCAGGGAAGGGGTGACTAGTGATAGAGGGAGTGGTGACTAGGGACAGAGTGAGGGAGGTGGTGACTAGTGACAGTCACCACCTCCCTCACTCTGTCACTAGTCACCACCTCCCTCCGTCACTGTGTCACCCCCTCCCTCACTGTCACCAGTCATCCCCTTACTCTGTCACTAGTCACCCCTCCCTCACTCTGCCACTAGTCACCCCTTCCCTCACTCCCTCACTCTGTCACCTGTCACCCCCTCACTCTGTCACTAGTCACCCCCTCACTCTAGTGACAGAGAGAGGGAGGGTGTGACTAGTGACAGTGAGTAAGGGTGTGACTAGTGACAGAGAGAGGGAGGGTGTGACTAGTGACAGAGTGAGGGAGGGATGGGGTGACTAGTGAGAGTGAGGGAGGTAGTGATTAGTGACAGAGGGAGGAATGGGGTGACTATCACTGTGTCACCCCCTTCCTCACTCTGTCACTAGTCACCCTCTCCCTCCCTCACTCGGTCACTAGTCACCCCCTCTCTCACTCTGTCACCAGTCATTCCCTCACTCTGTCACCAGTCATCCCTTCCTTCCCTCACTCTGCCACTAGTCATCCCTTCCCTCACTCTGTCACCAGTCATCCCCTCACTCTATCACCAGTCACCCCTTCCTTCCTTCACAGTGACAGAGTTAGGGAGGGAGTGACTAGTGACAAAGAGAGGGATGGGGTGACTAGTGACAGAGTGTGGAAGAGGGTGACTAGGGACAGAGGGGGTGATTAGTGACAGAGTGAGGGAGGGGGTGACTAGTGACAGTGAGGGAGCGGGTGACAGAGTTAGGGAGGGAGTGACTAGTGACAGTCACTCCCTCCCTCTGTCACTAGTCACTCCCTCCCTCTGTCACTAGTCACTCCCTCCCTCTGTCACCAGTCACCCCTTCCCTCCCTCACTCTGCCACTAGTCACCCATTCCCTAACTCTGTCACTAGTCACCCCCTCTCCCTCCCTATGTCACTAGTCACCCCCACTTACTGTGTCTCCCCCTCACTCTGCCACCACTCAACCCCTCCCTCCCTCACTCTGCCACCAAGTACCCCCTCACTCTGCCACCTGTCACAACCTCCCACACTCTTCCACCTGTCACCTTCTCCCTCACACACTGTCACCTGTCACATATGCATTCACACAGACACTATATACAAAAAAGCACATGTAGTCATCCCGACATGCACAAGTGCATTCACACAGACTCAAATACAAACATGCCTTGATACACAGGTCTTCACAATATACACATCCAAAGGAATGCTGTATTATGAGTTATATTTAACATTTATTTAATGCACATATATTTGGCCTTCAAAGGGCCTGGGATCTAATTTTGCCCGGGGGCCCCAAAGGCTCTCAGTCCGCCCCTGCCTACAGACTTTCCCTAAATCTACACACAATTTCATTAAAGGGACACTATAGTCATCTGAACAACTTCAGCTTAATGAGGTTGTTCAGGTGGGAACTATAGTTTCCTGCAGCCTGAGAAAATACAGTGTTTACATTGAAAGCTAGGAACAGCCCCAGTTGCAGTCACTCACAGTGAACCAGAGGGACTTCGGAGTTGATGGAGGCATAATATGCCTCCATCCACTCAGATCTGCTGTGCACAAGCATCCTGTGATTCAGTATCTCCTCCCACTGCATGCAGACACTGAACTTTCATCATAGAGATTCATTGATTCAATTCATCTCTATGAGGAGATGCTGATTGGACAGGGCTGTGTTAGAATCATGCTGGCTCTGCCCCTGATCTGCCTCCTTGTCAGTCTCAGCCAATCCTATGGGGAAGCACTGTGATTGGATCAGACTATCACATGTCAGCAGACTGCTTGTTTTTCCTGAGTCTAACAGCATGCAGATTTACAGCTTCTGGCTTGAATACAGTAAGATTTTTACTATATTTATGGAGGCATGAGGGGCCGAGGCGGGCTAGATGGTCGTGTTAAAGGACCACTATAGGCACCCAGACCACTTCAGCTTAATGAAGTGGTCTGAGTGCCAGGTCCAGCTAGGTTTAACCCTTTTTTCTATAAACAGCAGTTTCAGAGAAACTGCTATGTTTATATTAGGGTTAATCCAGCCTCTAGTGGCTGTCTCATTGACAGCCGCTAGAAGGCTTCTGCGCTTACCACTGTGAAAATCACAGTGAGAAGACGCCAGCGTCCATAGGAAAGCATTGTGAATGCTTTGAGCATTCAGCCGAGGAGGCGGAGGAGAGCTCCCAGTGCTGGAGAAAGAGGTAAGTTTAAACCCCTTCATCCCTTAGGGCACTATAGTGGTCCTTTAACACTATGGGGTCAGGAATACATGTAATTGCACTGGTGACTATAGTGTCCCTTTAAACTCAGACTTTAGACTTTTACCCCATCCCAGAGGAAGCACAAGCACAAACTCAGACATCTGAGAACCTTTGCAAAATAATTACAAAGTAAGAAGCTGCTCAAAGTGACAATCCTGAGTGCCAAAAAAAACGCAAGCTTTGTAATTTTTTCTCTTTTAAACATGGTTACTTGAAGATTTCAAGTATACATGTGCAAATAGAATGTCACAGTCTGTACCACTCTAAATGAATATTGCAGTTATTTTTCAGGATATAAAAAAAGTTTACCATTGGTGATAAAAACCATTTACCAGCTCAAGTTAGTTCTTATCATACACACACACACACACACACACACTTTTTTGTGGGATTACGAGCATATTTGAACAGGTTTGATATAGGGTGATGTTAAATATGTTATTCGTTTGGTGGGACATGTTTTATCTAGAAATACCTGTGATTTTTTCTTTTTATCTTTTTTCAGCTTTCCTATAGATGCCATTCTTTTCTCTGCCTTTTCCATTCTGCGCTTTGATTTTACCTTTCCCTCATCTTCCTTTTGACCACCTTGTTTTTTAGATAACTTGCGACTTTTCTTCTTCTTCAAAGTGGAGGCATGCACCTCTGATGGGGTATGCTGAAACGATGTTTTGCCACTTTCAGTCTCATCTTCACTTTCACTATCATCACTGTTCAATAGCACTAAGCGAATCCGCCCACTCTTCCCTTTAAGGCCTGATGAGTTCTCCTTGTTTTCTTCCTCACTTTCTTCATTTGGTTCATTGACTGTAGTTGCTGTAACTTCCTCTCCCTCACTGTCACTTTCCACAAGTATTTTCTTGTTTTTTGATTTCTTGGAAACCACAATTTCATCATCAGAATCTGTTTACAAATAAGATAATCTTTATGTATATGAAAATGTGACAAGTAAATGCAATGCTCAGAATCCAAACAGTACAGATAAGTAATTTGATTAGGACTATTTAGAAATCGATAACCAGCATCACTGAAGTATTAGTGCTATTATGTGACTGGAAACCAAAACACTAGGACAAACAGCCACAGACAAAAGTTACACAATATTCACAAACTGCATGCAAACAGAAGTCAAACAGTTCTCATAGATAACCTTCACCATTTAATTGGATGACTGCAGCTGTGGGCCATGCATGTGTTTTTAATCCCCAATGCTTGTCTATAAGGAGCATTGGATCAGACAGCTGCAGGGACTGGATCTCAGCTCTATAGCGGAGTAAAAAATGTTTTATTATTTGGGACGGCAGGGTAGATATGACCTTAAACTAAAGGCAGGGGAAAAAAATAGTCTTAGAGATACTAGTGTACAACTAGTTGTGGTTGTTATTGTATTAGGAGGTGGTCCCTGAAATGAATCCTCACTAATTTGCTACCTGTGCACCAAGATTGACAAATAACTCTGCTATGTCTGGGCAATTACTGCACAGTTCCTGCAAGTGACAAAGCAACAGAGTAGCTAAACTAGAAAAGAGTGCGGAAATTAATACAGGGACTGAGAATCTCAAATCAAAGATTTAATTTAGTTTTCAGGAACAGAGTTCTAGGATATAACCACTTCAAATTTATGTTAGTAGTAGCGTCCTTTGAAAAAGGATCAAGAAAGTATAGTAAAAAATTTAGCTGATTTACGGGTTATGTAGCACATACAGGTTATGATGCATTGAATATCCTGCCACAAATGTCCTAACATGCCCCCCAAACCAGTCAAGTCAAAGTTCACAAAAGTATTACATGTATCACTGAGCATTTCCACTTGTGATAAGGGTAACTGAGCAATTTCTACAAAGATAAGCACTGGATAAGATACAATGGATATCAAGAGTGGAAACAGGCAGGCCTGGTATGTACAAATGCGATGAAGGTGGACAGGATCTCTTTTGGCTAAGGAGTGTAACAAGCAAGAATACAAAATGTTCCTCAACAGCAACTGTATGCTCTGAACACATCATGAAGTATCTAAACCTAATTAAATCAATCAATTCCTGACCACATAAACAAGGATGAACAAAGCAAGTGAAAATAACTATTTGGGAGGGGGACCATGAGCCAAAGAGAACAATGCTAGTTTTCCCTGGACAGGGAAACACGTCAAAGTGAGTTTTCATAAAGAGATACTGAATGCTTCTATAGTATAAATTTTCTCTACCGTAGCTAACCTCTGTTATAGGGTACGGGCAACTGACTTTCCACAGAGCAGGAATTAAGGACTTTGCAGTGTTAAAAAAAAGCTTGGCCAAAGAATTGGAACTTTGTAAAATGCAGCAGTTGGCTGCAACAGAGTATCCATGCTGAACATGTCAATCATAACCCCGTGGACAAATTTCCAAAGGACAGTCCTAACAAGTGAGCATTGAAACTCCTATTACTCCCTGACAGCCCAAACAAACATTTTTTTAAAGCAATGTAATAAAGAAGTTGTATAATACATGTGTGCAAGTAGAGGTTTCACAACAGCATTTTTACCACCTCGAAGTTGACAGTTTTCATTTGAGGCTACATGAAGGGGTGGCCAATAATAATACTACATATTACAATGCATTGAAAGAATAAGGGCATAACAGTTTAGTAAACCTCATTTTAGCAATAAGTGTACCCGAAACCCCCTTCCACCCTAAGCAAAACTTACTCTTGTGAGGCAATAATTGGTTACACCGTAATGGGTGGGTTGCCCCTCAGAATTCTATAGTTTTATTAAGTGTCTTTTGCATTCGGATTCTCCTCGCCCATAAAGCATTTCATCAAATTATTGTACTTTTAGAGTGTGGAATGGTACTTTAATGATGGTGTATAGATCATGCCCCTGCAATCTCACTGCTCAATTCTCTGCCATTTAGGAAAGAAATCACTTTGCTTATGCAGTCCTTACCATACCTCCCCACTTGTGACTTACACAGCCTTCCTATACATTCCTTGAAAGAGATCTAAAGTTTAAACTTCCTTTATTGCACACAGTTTAATTTAGAACCTCTTATCTCCTGTTCTGTTAACCTGCTAGACCCTGCATGAGCATAATGCGCTGATAAAAGTTAAATAAAAGTAGGAAATACAGTCTAAACTCACACTGTACTCTAAAATCTGATTGGAATTTTTTTTATACATGGAAGCTGTATGAGAGAACCTGGTAAGTGACTAGGGCTGCCAAAATAGAAACAATTTTGATTTAACTTCTAAATGGCAAACATTCACTTCATCTCAATAAAGTTGTTAGTGTCATGTCCCTATAGTTTTAACTCTGCTACTGAAAATTTGTGAGGTTAACATGCTTCTAGTGGTTGTCCCCCATACAGCCACTAGAGGCACTTGAGCAGCAATAGCCACGTTAAACTTGACTATTTTAATCAGATGGTCTCATAGTTTTGCTGTACATGCGCATTAACCTGTTTCCCTTTGGTGAAAGATTGCATTGGCTGAGATCATCTGTACTAATGTTCTCAACCAAAGAGACGGATTGACTTTGTGAAAACCAGTGTGGCGAACCTTCCAATCCTGTCACGCAAGTGGGGCAACACCATTGGTAACAGACTCTCCAACAAAAAAGTTAAGAATTTCAAAATCAAGACAGCAAGCAAAAGTGACATACCTTCTTCCAGACACTCCATTCTGTTACTCAGCTCCTCAGGAGAGGCCATTTCACAACTACCTTGACCACTGTCTGAATCACTTTCTAAACCCTTGGCATCAGAATTAAGCTCCAACCCCAAATAATTCTGAAAGTAAATAAAAATTAGAAATAAGAAAGACACATGAATATAATTTGTAAATTGGAAAAAAAAAAATATATGTTTTTGTTCAAGAAGTAAAGCGTCTTTAAATTGGAATGTACTGCAATCACAGGGTGATTTACCAGACTGGAGAAACGGGGAGCTTTTGTTCGAGTACACAATGAGAAAGCATGCTGAAAACCAAAATATTAAAAAATTTAAAAAAATAATAAATATGTTAACTTACAGCATGACTGGGTCAACGAATGACACAGGTTTAGGATATACAGCAATATATTTACCCTTTAATGGACAGAACACCAAATTAATTCAGTTATCAGTCATTTGCACTATTCAAGTTTAAAGTAATTGAAAGATCGGAATGATGTCCGTATTTAGGAATAGCTGGTTAAAATGCAGTCGGACAAAAGCATTACACACAATGTGTATCCATGCGAGCTCAGAGGCCAGAATCTACATTGGAACACTGTGTTTTCAAAAACGCTCTATGGAATCCCGCTTTAGAACTAAATAATCTCTCCTCAACCTGTAACCGACCCCCTGGATCACCCACTAGTAACGCTGGGAGAGAGGGAGCCCCAGCCGCCGTTAATAATATGCCGAGCGGCACACTGACCTCACCTGAACCTCCGAGCCCGCAGCCATTGCACTCGGCCCAGATGACAGCTCCCGCCAATCCACCCAGCTGCACTCTCAGAATTCCCGCCCTGCTGGAGGGGAGGTGCCCAAGCAGCATCGACCAATCAGAATCGTCGTGCTCGTCTACGTGCTGGAGTCTGAAAGTGCGCTCCAGCCCTCGTATTCAACACGCGCCTCTGGATGGAACGTTAGGGAAGTTTGCGTGTCAAATCTCGTGAGGGCTGATGGGAAGGGAAGACTTTAAAGCACAGGAAACAGATGTTTAGCCTGAAAGGAGGGGGGTGGTATTGTTGCAGTCAGTCGCACCAAGATGAGAACATAACATTTGCCATGTGGTGATAATGGTAGAATCAGGGATCACACGGTGCTATGGGTGGTAGTTATGTTTGGTTAGAGTGATACAAGCAGGGTTACTGGCCAAAATACATTTCAGGGGGAAAAAGTGCAGCTGAAAATGTGGCTAATTTGAAGATTTTGTCTCCAGTTTGATTATTATGTCCTTATATTTTGAATATATCTCTCAAATGTCCCTTTTCTGGCAGGTTTGGGTTTGTTCATTGGCGCGCCCTATCGGGCGGGGGGGAACAGCCACCTTCAGACTACCACTCAATCCACACGCAACACTAGGCTCACTCCACACACACAATTCAGCCACCACACTCCCTCCCCCCAGCTCAGCCTTCTCCACATACACAAAAAACACCTGCCCCCATTCAAAGAACAGAGCCTCCAATTGCTGCAAGCTTTGAATTCCCCACAATCCACAGTTTAGTGAATAACATTGCAAAGAGTGAATTGTTGGGACTTAAACAACCCTGTAATGTAGTGGATGAACTGCAAATGCTGAAATAGCAGAGTGATATTTAGTTGAAACAATGCAGCTGATTCCACCAAATGTAACACATTCAGCTGTTTTGTTTTGTTTTAAATACAAATTTGTAAAAAAAAAAAAAAATTCTCATCAGAATCTTTATTTCTATTTTGCTATTGGTCAGTTGTCTGTTTAAATCCTTATAACTTGGCTGTATATGCTTTTCATAAACTGCCCACATTTAGATGGAATAGGTTGAGTAGGAATTGCCAGTGCATGGTTATATCTGTGACTTTATTGTGCCTGTCCTTAACCCCTTAAGGACCAAACTTCTGTAATAAAAGGAAATCCTGGTTATCCTGGTTATCCTGGTGCACATGCAAGCCAACATGATAAACTGCCAATGTATGGGACTAAATGTCCTGAATTGGCATTACAAACATAGTGAAAGTTACGTCTATCCTTATGTTAATGGGTGTGGATCCTGTGTGTCAGGTGATTGGGAGGACTGAGGTGAAATTGGGTGTCACATGGTGCCAACATGTAACTTGATATGTCTATATAACATAATTTTTATAAGCAATATAGTTGGATCTATATTTATGCCTGACAATCTTTCTTCTCCTCAGGATACATATTTATTTACTTTTTATTTACATACATATTTTTTTTTTTACCAGGAAGGGTACATTGAGATTTCTCGTTTTCAAGTATGCCCTTGGACATAGTATCTTGTTATATGACAAAATGTATCATGTATCATTGTATGTTTTGCTTACCCAGTTTACAACATTCTAGCTGGCATATATTGGTGTTTTAAGAATAAAATGTGTAATAATGACATCTAGTGGTAAGTATTGGATCAACTTGCTATTCCAACATAGTCATGCTCCTTTTAAATCTAAAATATCCTATTTTACTAGTTTTATTTTCGGTACAGTAAAATCAACAAAAAAAAAAATGGTCAGCATTTGTTTGTACTTGTCCTTCCAGGTTACAAGTTGTGAGCATTTCCATGTAGCAAGGTACACAATCTTTGTCCATAGGGGGGGAAATTAACCTGTTAATTGAAGGTCTGAAAACAATTGCCACCAGTGACAACCTCCTGTGTAGTCAGAAGCTCCTGCAAGGAGCTCCAATAGTTCCACTGAGTTAAAGGGACACTTTAGTCACCTGAACAACTTTAGCTGCATAAACAGAAATAAAGTGATTTAACTCCTAAATGACAGTGAATTGGTTGAGCCTGAGAGAATTAGCTAAGTGTTCTCAGCCAATGAGCTAAGCTCTGCTAGCACTGCAGGCTCTTAATGTTTGGTATAATGTTTCGAAAAAAATTTCTGGTAAAGTAGAACATCACAAGATGCTTTATAACCTAAATATATTTATAGCTGTGTACTGATTAATTATACTCATTTTATTCCCATGCTATACTATCAGCTGGTTTGTCTTTTAGAACATGGTAATTTTAAAGTGCTTTCTTGGTCTACTGAGTATAATTAGCAAGTACCTATATTTGTTACTAGGGAGTAAGTTATTTGATCACACATCTCGCATGCTGTCTTACAGGGTTACATGACAGTCTAAGATACTTACAGTGCAAGTAGCCACTGATGATGTTACGGTTCATCACATGGTGCATTCCTGACAACAAATGTGTGTACAAGCAGTGTGGAAAGACCAAAATGAAATTTCAAGACTAAATAATTGACCTTGGCTTCGCTCTCTTTTCTGTCATTATCATCCCATCAGGGGCGTACCTAGAGCATTTGGCACCCGGGGCGGATCCTGTGCTTGGCACCCCCCACCCAAAAAAAAAAACCAAAAAAAACCCTGTAAAAAATGTTAAAGGTTTTCTTTCTTTTTTTTTTTACAATTTGTAAACTTTGCAAAACCCCTGTCAGCCCCTCCTACAAAACCCTTGTCCTGCCCCGCCCCACCTACAAAACCTCTGTCCTGCCCCTTCTACAAATCCTGTACTGCCCCGTCTACAAAACCCCCGCAACCCCCTTCCACAAATCCCCTGCCTATCCCCCCTTATAAAGACTCCTGTCCCAATACAAAAACCCCGCCCCCTTCTACAAAATCCCTGCAGCCCCACACACACATTTACAGGCAGACAGTCACACACTCAGTTACAGACAGACAGTCACATACAGTCACAGGCAGACAGTCACACATACACATTTCCTCCGTGCGGCCAGTTTATCAGCTGTTTGTTTGTGTGAGCTGTACTGGCCGTACAGCACCCTAACTACCATGGGACACTGTGCGGCCACAGCTCACACAGCCCCCTCCAGCCAGGGCCGGTGCAAGGATTTTTGCCGCCCTAGGCAAAAGTAAAGTTTGCCGCCCCCCATGTGACATCACAATGCCCCACCCATATGATTTGCCATGTTAAGCTATTCACGCATATTTAGACAAAATGGCTGCTAGAAGTTTCTAACCCCTCCCTCCTTATAACCTCGACTAACTACCTCGTGTAACAAGATGGCGCTGAGATCTGGGGGAGACCCTCATGGTCTCAGTGACATCACCTCTAGTAGGCAGAGCACTAAGATAACTACTTAACACCTAACCAATTGATACCGTATTATTCCATGTTATCTCTGACAATGCTTATGATGTAATTTTGCTTTAAAAGAGACTTGCCGTCCCCTCTGAATAAACATTCCTCAAGTTATTCAACTACCTGAAACTTGTGTCTGGTGTGAATTACTTCAGGGAGCGTGCACGCACTGTTTCATTAATTTGGTCAGGGGCAGATACACAAAGAATAATCAATCGATTTGAGTTGATTTCCACTTCAATTGGCGCCCAACGTGGGGCACCGGATTTGCCGGCTCGGAGGGGACCGCCCTATGATGGTGCCCAGACCATGCCGAGCAGCACCCGCCCATCTTCCCCAATCCATGCACAGACGTCACCTCCTGGTGGCGTCACACATGGTCCCACCCCTTTGTGTCCCGTGCTTGGAGCTGATGGTACCTATTACTACCCATTGCCATCGCATCCTTTTCCCCATGCCCCTTTGGCACGGCCGTTCTCTTCCCCAGATCCGACCCCTCCCCAGAGCCTAATGTCAGTCCCGCCCCAGCCTGGTTACCAAACCCAATCCCAGTCTCTGTTACCTCCCTCGTTACCTCCCTGTTCACAACCCCGCCCCCAGACACCTCCCACTCCTGTTGTCCCACCTTCTGTCTTTCCCACGTCAGACCACGATCCCGCCCCACAGCTCCCGACCCCCGTCACTTCCGACACTCCCCTGGACCTGGCCCCTACAGTAACCCCTTCCGCTTCCCTCCCTAACCCTGTTACTAATGCTTCCGGTTCCCCTAATAAGCTAGTCTTCCCTCCTCACAGCCCTTTCCGCTGCCCTCGAGCCTCCTCCCCCTCCTCCTCCTCCTCCCCCTCCCTCACTTCCTGAATCCTCCCCTATTGTGGATCCACCTTCTCTTCCGGCTTCTCTCCGTACTGAGCTGTCTCCCCTCCTCTCTGCCCTCTCTACGTTGATCCAATCACCCGCCCAGTCTCACGTCACCCCCTCTGACCCGGCCCCTACACCCACCCAGATAGCTCCTAACCCAAGCCCCGCCTTTCCCCTCATGGTGGTTCTGAGGAACCTGCTACGTCAGCCAAACCCCATGCCGTGGGCGTTTCTCCCGCGGCCTCAGGTTACCACCCCACAACGTCACAGCTGGGCAGTTCCTACAACGTGTCGCTTGCTCCTCAGACTCCCATCACCCCGGCTGTTCCCGGTCCGATTTCCCTGGGCGCCGCCTCACACCAGGACGACCATGTCGCTCCATGTGACGATGACCCTGATGGAAATGGCCTATCCCCACCCCTGGGTAACAGGTCCCTGACACAACCTGCAACACGGATGCACCTCCATGTCCCCGCTCCCGCTACTGGGGCCCCTCCCATGTATGTCACTTTTAACCCCTCACAGGCCGCCACCCTTGTCACTTCTCTTCCTGATCCTGAGAAACAACCCATGCCCTTTTACCGCAGAATGGCTCAAATTTGTAAAACATACTCCGCAGCTTGGCGGGATCTTTATAGTTTATGTGAAATCAAAGCAGGTGATGCCTATTGGCCTATTATGGAGAGAAGTTTTACCGATGCTTCACTTACCACAGATACAGATTTCCAGTCTGGTATTACGTTTTGTGAACAGCTCTGCGCTTGGGCACAGGATAAACTAGCAGACCAGGCTACTTGTATTACAGACATTGTTCAAGAAAAGCTTGAGTCAGTGGAGAAATTTCACTCACGCCTTACACAAACCTTCTCTGACTTAGGGTTCAGTACTTACAATAAAGCTCATACTCAGATGTTGTCTGCTGCTTTTGTATCTGGTTTGAGGGAATCCATTCGTAAGGGTTTAATCCTTTCCCGCCCTGAGTATCGTATCATTCCTCTAGACACTCTTCTACTAGTTGCTAAAGGGTTAGAGTCAGTGGTGAAACCTACACAGAGAAGGTCTAACCCAGTGATGTTTAATGCTCCCACTGTAGCCTCAGGGTCAGTGCCAGCAGTCTCCGGTTTCCATACATTCCCAACTGCGCCTACCCTTAGCCGTGCTCAATTCCCTACTGCCAGAACTTGTTACAATTGTCACCAACCTGGCCATTTCCGCAGGGATTGCCCGCTCCCTAGATACAGTAGACCATCGCCTCCTCGATACCCCGGTCCTCCCCCTGCTGCCCATGGTTACCCCATACCTGGTTACTCTAGGTTCCCCTCACCTCCCCCAGCCCCCTATTTCCCTCCTCCTAAGTATTCCCGAGTTCCCCCACTACCCGCTGAGACCAGCCCCCATGTTCCAGCCCCCGATGTGGAGGAGACCCACCAGAGATCAACCCCTGTTAGGCCCACGCCTCCATCAACCTCTGCACGCCGTTATACCGGCCCAGATCAGTCCCATTTAGACTTGTTGCAATAGGTAATCGGCAAGCCTGTGTCAGACGTCCCTGTTATGGCAGTGTCTTCAGGGGATGAGGGAGGGCCC